TGCTCCGCCTGGCTCCATTGGCCTTCCATAGCTCCAGACCATCAATGTACTAGCGAGCTCGGGCGAGCATCTCGTTCAGGGAGGCCGGCAGAAGGCTTCTGAACTCTACCGTAAAATTCCTGTCGTCTAAACCCGTGGTAAAGTACATCATGGCGATGTCGTTGGTACAACTCACCACCTTGACATTCTCTTCCATGAATCGAGCGATGTACTCCGTCAGGGACTCATTATCCTGTTGCCTCATTGTTCCGAGGTGCAAGGGCGGCAACTTCAACAACTGCTGAGCTGAGAACTGGTTGATGAACAACCTTCTCAGCTGTTGATAACTGTCTATGGATCGGGGCCTCAACTGTCGGTACCATAACCTGGCCAAGCCTTTCAAGGCTATTTGAAATGCTCGGCACTTCATAGCATTACTTGCGGCCAAGAAGTCCATCTTTCCCTCGAACACCTCCGCGTAAGAGACTAGATCTCCAGACCCGTCATAGGAACCCATGGTCGGAGCTTTGAACCTGTCTCTTATACACATCTCGACGGTCTGAAGGGGCTTTCTCGTCGCGACGACCTCTATTCCTGTTGTCGTCGGCCTGCCGAGATGAGCCCCAACCATCGCCGCGTTGCTACTTGGGAGGAGGGGACTTTTGGTCCCGATCTTTACCACGGTTCTTCGCCGGGCTCCATTGGCTTTCCACAACTCCAAGCCGTCAATGTACTGGCGGGCTCGAGCGAGCATCTCGTTCAGGGAGGCTGGCGGACGGCTTCCAAACTCTATCGTCAAATTCCTGTCATTTAAGCCCGTGGTGAAGTACATCATGGCGATGTCGTCGGTACAGCTCACCACCTTGACATGCTCGTCCATGAATTGAGCGATGTACTCCGTTAGGGACTCACTATCTCGTTGCTTCACTGTTCCGAGGTGCGAGGGCGGCAACTTCAACAACTGCCAAGCTGAGAACTGGTTGATGAAGAACCTTCTCAACTGTTGATAACTGTCGATGGATCGGGGCTTCAACTGTCGGTACCACAACCTGACCGAGCCTTCCAAGGCTATTTGGAAGGCTCGGCACTTCATAGTGTCACTTGTTGCCAAGAAGTCCATCTTTCCCTCGAACACCTCTGCATAAGAGATCGGATCTTCGGATTCATCATAGGGACTCATGGTCGGAGCCTTGAACCTCAGCAGAATGGGCGCGTCCAGGATAGCTTGGGAGAAAGGCCGCTCTTCCTGCTCAGCCGGCTGATGTGGGTCTACAGGTCTGCACTGCCGCTTGAGATCTTCTAT